TAATGGCGGACATGACTGTATATATAATGAATTAATGAGTACAAATAAATTCGTTACAAAGGTTACTTTTATGTAAATCTGACCTGAGTGCGTCAATAAGCTAGGCGTGACTATAAACTATAATTTAATGCTGAATAGTTTTACGGTTTTTTTATTTATTTATATGAAGCAAGGGACATACTTAACCTCTCTACCTTTGCTTCGTCTTGCTCACCAAACTTAATTTTCTCAATATGAATTTACTCTATACCGTTTTGTTTCTGACCTCTTTAGCTCCACTACCCGGAGCTAGTAGGCCAACACCACCAAATGCTTGCAATCAGTCTCTTCCGGTGGACCAAACAGATTCTCAGTTGGAGGGTTCCTCGACCTTACCTAGTCAAAGTAATCGGGCTCCTCCACTTCGGGCGAATCAGACCAACACGGAAAGGGTTGCACCGACTGCCATTGTTACACCTCCATCTCCGGCGAGGGATGCACAAGGTGAGAGCAACAAACGGATTACCCCACCGGATAAGAGAGACCTAAAATCCCCATTTCCAATGACCGCTACTCAATCTCTGGCTCAGATTAACCTGGCTTCTTCATCAACGGTCCGGTCCACCCAGCCAGTTCCACCACCTGCTCCTCTTTCTTCACCGACTTGCTTAATCCAACAAGGACAGTGCAGCCAACCGAACCGGCTAAGTCAGTTCCACCAAGCTCAACCACCCGGTACTCCTCCTATCAGAATTCCCTGGTACCACGATAACACGTTTTTCGCCATTGAAGGTAGTGGACAACATGGCGTGCCACCAAATGAATTCCACAGAATGGACTGTCTAAGCATTTGCGTGCTACATTATTTGTTGGCCAGTGGATTGAGCCACACAGCCTCATGGTGTCAACTCCCAAGGCTCAGTACGAGCATCCATATTCAATGCTTTCTCAATCAGGTTGCTTTCTCTCTATTACTCTTGGCTCATACCGTCTTTCCACGAACACACCCAATCTTGGCGTTTATTATGGATCGTCTCTCCTTCTTATTAACCGTGATCGCGGCTTACTTAGCTTCCATGCCCATGTTTCCTCCATATATAGCGATCATTATGTTTCTTGTTGTTGCTTTAGTCTACATGTTTGCTCGTTTCAGGCGTTAATTGATAACTTAGGTTTCTGCCCTGATTAGGTTTTGTTTTTTACATGATCACTAGTAAGTAGATATGCATCATGGAGTGACTTGGAGGAGTAGACCACTAGGCCTAATCACAACACTTGTCACCATGATTAGTTTTTTATTTATCATATTTACTAGTACTTTTTAATATTACGTTTTTTTTAAAAAAGATTTTGGTCATGAAATCCAGTACTCTTTTTTTAAGATTATAATCATGTGTACACAATCTTGATTAATGAAATGGTTTATTTTGTTTTAGAGTCTATAGTCTTTGTTCTTCTTATGTTTACACTTGGCCCAGTGATACTGTTTGATTTATAACAAGCTCAATTTTCCATATAGTACTGAGGAAAATGACGGCATAACATAACAAAAAGCTAGCGTATGTTAATAAAAAGCATAAAAATAAACTAAAGCTAGGGTTTTGAATAAAGAAAAAGGTGAACATTTAATTTTTAAACATGTGAAGAGATCACGTGACTTTTATCTTCAAGTCCACACATTTAGGATGCGTTTTTCTTCGTTTGCAATTATCACTACCGATCCATCTCATTGGAAATTTTAAATAGAGGATATTGTTGAATTTACCATTTGTGGTGAAATTATTTGTTGGAAATATCATAGTTGAAAAATCTTTTATAAAATCTACCACAATTGCACTGCTCACAACGACATAAAGACAATTATAATTCTGCATCAGGTTTGTTTTGTTTATGTTTTTGTCCACCGTCGTCTCTAACCATAATTTGGTGACAAGAATTTAAAAGTATTATGGACAAGAATAGAGCAATACTTTCAAAGTTTCTGTTGGTGGACGGGAATATCGTAATGCTTTTGAATGCTTAGTTGTCTTTACCTATTGTTTATTATCTACATATCTGAAACTAAATAATATTTATGGCTACTTTAGGATAGAAGAAAATGTGCACATCCAAATGTATGCGTAGGACCAAGTGGACAAATTATGAAATTGTATATATGCGTAAAAGTTGTCCACTAAAGTCGTAACAGATAAAGAAAGTTATTTTAGTGGACAACTGTATTATATGTAGAAGTTGTCCACTAAAATCGTAAC